AAAATGAAATACTGGATGCCAGACTATCTTCTAGCTCACTCAGCAGTGCCTCACCACTGAAAAGTGTTTTATTTCATACCAGCATGGCCCCTTAGTCACAGTGAGAATTTCCTTTCTTTGAGTATGGTCAGACCTTGCTAGGTCTGCAAAGCTTCTCTCTCCCCATTGGGATCTCTGCTGTTTATTTTTTATAGTCTGTAGGAAATGTTATCAAAAGACAAAATCTATTAGCTCTGGAGGCTACCCAAGGAGACATGGTAAATAACTTAGCATCATCACACGCAGTTCCAGCAGGGCTGGGAGCAGGACAAGTTGGACAAGAGAGCACAGGCATTTCTTGCAGCAAATGGAGTCAGCCTGCTCTGACTCACAGCCTCTCATTGACTCTGAGAGATCCTCTCCCTTCATGCAACCTCCAAGTCAAGAAACAACAGTTGCTAACACTTCTGCTTCTCCTAGTGCTCGCTTCCCTCAAAGCCTAGCATAAAGTTTTTGCTATGATGCTTGAGGTCAGACTCTCGGTCTTGCCCACAATGAACACCAACTTGTTCCACAGGAACAGATACTGGCTTTGCTTACGGAGCAGGACTCCGAGATGCACATAAATCATGTACAGTCTGGTCACTCAAGATTCTTTACAAATAAAAAACAAGAAAATTAAAAACCGGAAAGCAAAAATTCTCAGCAAGTTGCAGCTGCCAGCACGCAGGCTGCAGTACATGGAAAGAACATTTTAAGGGAAGGGAAGAGGTACCCTTGTCATTCTCTGACCTGGTGTGGAGGTCATTTTCAGTCACCGCACAGTACAGGCAGTTTGGGCCCAGGTGGCATGTCACCCAGTGTCTGTGCCAGCAGCTCCGCGGGATCTCTTTCATCCCAGCCAGCCCACAGCCCACCTCACTGCACAGCGCTTGTGCAGGAGGGCTCCTGGGGGCTGCCTCCACCAAGCTCGCTGGGCTTCATTCCTGGGGCTCCATCTCTGGTGTGTGTGAAAAGGTCGCTCCCGTGCTGCCTGGCATTCCCGGGGGCAACGAGTAAGTGACTTGGTATTGGGTTAATAACGAGCAGGGTATAAGCCCACATCTCCCGCTAGGCAGAGGGAGCCCCGCGTATAATCCTGAAACCGACAGAGCCAGTGTGCAACAGCCCTGGGAAACTGGGACGCTTACAAAAAGCAGCTGAAGCCTCGGGCAGTTTTCTCCAGCATGCTGTAGACAGCCCTAATTGCCGGCCTTTTGTGAACATATTAAGGCCCCTCCTCATCAGTCCCCACTGGAGCAGTGGTTCAGTGGAGCTGCGGTGCCGAGTCCCCGAGGCTCCCACGAGCCGGGCACGGGCTCCTGCCTGCGCCCGCTCCTCACGTCCTGGGAAACCTCTTTCCTGACCCCTGCATCCTTTCCGTGTGCTCTGGGGAAACACGGTCACGGAGCCGGCAAGTACGCCAAGCAAAATCCTAAAGCTGTGTAAAACCACAAGCTGGGGTGCTGCGGTCCGAGGCTGCAGCTGGGCCATCTCCTGCGGCCCCCGGGGCGGCCCCGGCAGGGCCGAGCCCCGCGTCCCGAGCCCCGGCCGGCCCAGCGCGGGCAGCGGGGCCCGGCCCCTCCTGGCTCCGCCCCGGCTCTTTAAGGCGCCGCGGAGCCGCGCCGGGCCGAGACGCGCCGAGCCGAGCTGAGGTGAGTGCCGGAGCAGGGGGGCCGGAGCGGACCCGACCCGACCCGACCCGACCCCGGGCAGGGCTCGGGGCGGGCGAGCGGCACAAGGCGAGCCGGGGCCGGGGAGCTGGCGGGGGCGATGCTCACCCGCTCCGCTGCTCTAATGATGGAGCTGCCACGCACCGGGCTTCCCCGACGGACCGCCGACAAAGCCGTCTAGGAAAACCGGATAGCCTGGAATTCTTGTGTGTCCGTCTTGCGGCTGGCTTAGGTCTCTTGAATCTGAGCCGCTGTTAGCAAACGGGTCGGAAGGGACTTGGCAGCTGCTGGGGCTTGTCCCGTGGATGCGTGCTGGGTACGAGCAGCTGCCGTCAAGCCGCAGCAGACAGCCAGAATTATTGGTGTTGGCAGTGAGATCACCTGGATGTTTAATTGCTGCTTTTGAGCTCCCCAGAGGCCTGCAGGAACTAGCCGGAGAGTCCCGAGGGAGCAGGGCAGGCTTGAGGCGGGGCTGGCGGTCTGAGCCTGCTCCCCGCGGCGCTCGGGAAGGAGCCCTGGGCAGCAGCAGGCTCCGGGCACGGCTGTGAGGAGCGGGCCGGGGGCCGGTGCGATGTGCCGGGGCAGGGCCGTGAGGAGCGGTGCGATGTGACGGGCAGGGCCGTGAGGAGCGGTGCGATGTCCCGAGGGAGCAGGGCTGTGAGGAGCGGTGCGATGTCCCGGGCACGGCCGTGAGGAGCGGTGCGATGTGACGGGCAGGGCTGTGAGGAGCGGTGCGATGTCCTGGGACACGGCTGTGAGGAGCGGTGCGATGTGCCGGGCACGGCCGTGAGGAGCGGTGCGATGTCCTGGGACACGGCTGCTGCAGGGCACCAGCCCTCGCCCCTGAGGCGCCTCCTGAGCACCGCTGCCAGGAGGGAGCTCCTGCTGTTGAGTAACTGAGGAAATATTGCCGTTCTTCCCACGCAAGAGTCATAGGAACATCATGGGGAGGATAAATGGAAATACTTTCCCTGGAAGAGAATACGGTTACCTTGACCTACCGACTTCAATTCCTTTTTATTTTTCATTTAATGAATTCCCAAAGCCCTTATCAGAAGTTTTGAGTTAGCTAATGGTTGTCGAGTCGTCTAGTATTCTGTCTCTCTCGGGGAAGAAAGGGTGGAGCTGCACCCTGTCTTGCCCAACATTTCATGTGAAATCTGGGGCAAAGCTGGGGAAACCTGATTCAGGTTCTCAGCTGTAGTGCGCATGAAAATGAAATTATTGTTTGCTAACAAAACAATTAAGATAAAGTAGCTCATGAAAATGCACAATAGAACATGAGCATGGAGGTGATGAGAGGAAAAGACACAAGTAGTTCTTGTACCAAATACCATTTACATTTTGGAAAGCAAACAGAGTGGAAAGGAATCTTTTCTCCTTTTCTTTTTTACTTCCCCCCCATCCATGCATTCCTTTTCCAGAGTGTTGTGCAGTCTATATTCTCTTTAGCTAAGGACGCTCTTTGCTCTGATTGATGTCAGCTGCTGTGCGGTAGCACAGCCAAGCACTTGGATAAAAGAAATGGAATCTTGATTTTTAGACGGTACAGTTCTGCCAAGAATGACAAAAGCAAAGTGGGAAATGTCATAAAACTAATTTTATGAGCTAGGTCAGGGTATTAGTGCTAAACCATGGAGCAGTAATGATGCTAATCCCATGGAAGTATTAAACAAAGGGCTTTCTCAGTAATTGGTGTCAGTGTGCAAATGGCGCTGCTCAGCCACTCCGAGCAAATTTCCAAAGCTGTTGCTTAGGAATGTACCGAAGGTGCCCCAATTTAGTTTAATAAACTAATCTTATTTTCCCACATGCCATGAATGGCTGTCTGCCTGTCTTGGCCAAAGGTCTTGTAGCAGCTACCTGGCAGCATGTCTTACTTGGGAACCACACGTCCTACCTTGCGCTGCTGAACTGCTGCTCATGCTGCTGGGATGGGAGGCTTGTTTCACCAGGCAAGATGGGTCACATAACTCGGGTTTAGCCAAAACTGCTGCTCTCAGCTGTGATTTGGGAGTCTGCTCTACCTTGCCTGGGGTACGAGGCAGCTCGCTCTGCACTGAGGCCTGTCCCATACTTTGGGAGAAAAACCCCTTAGAGAAAAGAGCTCTTCAAGCAAAGTGCTCCTCTCTGGCTCCTGGGGTGGCACTTCTAGTTCCTCTCTGTTGACAAGGGAGGCAACTGGATATTGGTAGTCCTCTGCTTCTGGCTCAGAGGGATGAGCGCAGAGTTAACTGAAGGCAGCAGGCTCTGGGCTTTGTGTGGGGATGATGTTGTGCGTATAGGTTCTCCTTGTCAGGCCTAGGAGAGCTTCTCAGGGCAACTGAGGGAGAGTTTTGCAGAGAAAAGTCAGAAGGTCCCAAGAAATTCCTTCCCAGCCTCCCTCCCTGATAGCTGACCTGTGCTGCTGTGGGAACTCTGCAGGGAGGGAATGCTCTTGCCAGTGGGGGAGGGTGGCAGGAGGTGCCTTTGGGCTTCCAGTGGGTAAACCATGGTCCTCCTCCAAAAGCCCTGTGTGAAATGAGGATCAGTAAGGGGCACTGGGGTGATGAGTGCTGAGCAGCTCTGCTGGGTTAAGCTCATGGAGGCAGTAGCCCTGTCTGGCTGTTGTTGGCCTCTGTGCTGGTGGGAGGTGATGGTGCTGAGCTGAGCCTTCAGCAAACACAGCTGTGTTAGCTCACAATAGTGGCAGTGGCGGCGGGAGGAAAGCCCCAGAGATCTCGGAGGTGATGGGCAGGGATCTGCTTTGGAGCTTTAACCCCAGATAATGAATGGGAAGAGCTGGGGGGAACTGCTGATGGTGGTGCCAGAGAGTGCAGGGGAGTTCGTGAGGGAGCAGATCAGCTTGAGATGGGACAGCTACTGCTTCTGGCTTAATGTAAGAGACTGTTCCCAAGGCTACAGGCTGACACAGTGGGTGAGATGCCTGTCCCCAGAGTTTTGAGTGTCCATTGCAAGTAATGCATGAGAGGGGGTTGCACTTCCTTTTAAATCAGCTGTGGCTACTTGAGCAGTTGGGTTTGGTTGCTATACCGGCCTGGTAAAGGTGCAGTTCATGTAACGGGTGAAGTCCCTGGAAAATAATCCCCCTTAAACTTCTTTGAAGTGCAGGTGTGATCTCAAAGGAGTTCAGAAGGTTCCTACAACCCTAATAAGTGGTTTTCCGGTGAAGTGAATTTTGGCTTGTTCCACATCCCAAATGACAGGCCCTACAGTAAAACAAAATGCCATTGTTGGCACAACTGGTTTGCTTCTATCAGACAAGAGGCCCAGCATTAATGAAGCATAGAAACTGAAATTATATCCATCTGGGGGGGCATTTGTTCCAGGTACAGTAAAGCTCTTTTGCATGAAACTGTAATTTGTGCATATCCAATTTATGTAACTTTCAAAACCCCCAGGCAGGGACAGAGGACATGGCTCGTGAAGACTGTGTCTCTGTTTTTCTTGCTGTTCAGCAGCAGTGGTCTCTGTTCCCCTTGCCAGTTCGTCTGCTTTTACAAATAGCCGTAGAGAGCCTGCCTAAGCCTTTAAGTCTGGTCTGGCATCTGAAGAGCTGGGAAATTGAACTGGTCCCAAAATCTTCTCACGCAGTGGAGGGTCATGTTTTTAAACGGTTGATGAAATTACAGAGTTGTGCTCTGATGCCACCCAAACTTCACAGATCTGGTTTAAAGGAGCATGTAAGCCCAGCTGTCCTGGGGCCAGGGTGATGGAGGACACTGCATTTAACAATGTCTCTTAATTGTTAATGTGCATTTAAGAATCCCCTTCTCCCCTCCTGACTGGCTGGGCACACAGAACCACCATGCCGAACTGGGGAGGTGGCAACAAATGTGGAGCCTGTGGCCGCACCGTCTACCATGCTGAGGAGGTGCAGTGCGACGGGAGGAGCTTCCACCGCTGCTGCTTCCTCTGCAGTAAGTATTCTCCTCTAAAATCTCTCCTGCCATAGCTGTGGGGGTCACAGCAGCAAGGGGCTGGTCCACAGGAGGTGTCCTGACACTGGGAATGGCAGTGGCCAGAGGTGACTGTCCATCATGATTCCTGCTTCCCCATGTGCTTCCTGGGCTTGGCAGTCCTGAGGGGAGAGCTCACCTCCTAGAGAGGTTTTGTCATGTTTCTGAGCAAAGCACATCCATTTGCACTCTTGCAGCCTTTTCCTCAGGAGTCTAAGGGATCCTGAGGCTGGAAACCTGGCTTAAGCATTGCTCATGCAGAGGTGGAAGGCCAGTGGCAGAGCCTTGTTTGCGCTGATCTGAGCTCAGCTGGGCTTCTCCCCGTGGTCCTGGGGCTGGCAGAGGCTGAAGGAACAGTTATCAAACTGCTGCCCTGGAGTCCTGTGCAGACCAGGACAGCAGTGCACACAAGCACAGCCGAGTTGTTGATCCTTTAGCACAGCCAAAAGCCTAAACTTTCTTGGCACAGAGGCCTGTGGTTTATTTCAGATGAAAGCAGTCCAAAGCATTATTTTCCAGTCCAACCAACAAGCCCAGTGAGGCATTGAAAATCGCTTTCTGTGCTGAAAATACCTCTGCTCAGATGAGGGGAACAAAGGGTCTCTGTGAATTGGAGGCTCCTACTTTGTGAGCAGACAGCCTCTCTGTCTGAATCAGAGAATTTTACCTTATTGCAAACATGAGGTACTGCTTTTCCCCACTTGTTGGTGATTAATACATATGGGCAGAGCTAGGGTTTAGCCTTCTTATATTGGCTGCAGTTACCCTGGGCCTCTCAAACAAGTTTGCTGTTAAGTCTGCTGCCTAACCTTGGTGTGCTGTGCTGGCGTTGAGAGCCTCGGCACACCTACACTCCTTTCCTTGAGCTCTACAGTGGTCTCAAAAAACAAAGATTAGATGCCTCGGCTGCCTCATTTTCAGCCTTTTATGGGAGTTACTATTAAAAGAAACCTGGAACTTGCAGTCAAACAATGGCTCTAGTGTGTCTGAATACATGGTTTTCCTTAGTGCATACTTCTGTTGGGGTTAAAGTCCATAGGCTTAACAAACGTGCATTAAGTGATTTACTTATTGGATATTAGTGTCTTATAAAAAGAACCTTGGAGCTAATGATTGCCATAAGCAAAAGTCACCCAGTGTTTTGCAGACATTAAAATCTTTAAACAAAAAATTCATTGAGGGTGGTTTTTTTTTCTCCCCTAAATTCTTTTTCATGGGCATAATGCTGTTGCAGATGGAAAGGGCACGGCAGTTGGCATACAAAAGGAGGTTTAGGAAGGAAATAGTTCTCCCTTCTACTGTAACCTTGAGGAGAGGGCTTGCATTGTGCTGGAGGACAATGTAGGAATGCCAGAAAAGCACAGCCCCTCCGGTGTCAGCTGTGAACCAGCCCCAGCTCTGCCCTGAAGCAGTATTGGGGGGGCTGAGGGAGGTGGGAAACCTTGAAGATTCGGGTTTTTTCCCAGCCCCACCCTGGCCAAAAGGGCAGGGCAGGGGCTCTTCTGTACTGATAGGCTTTGGCTTCATGCTGTATGGCATCTGTCAAGGGAAACTGCTGATTGCCCTCTCTGGGTTTCTGAGCAGCCTTGTTCATCAAACCACGGCAAGTTTCCAGGCTTTAAATATCACGGTCATGAAGAGGTGGGAGGGAATAGAGCCCTTTATGGGGCTAAGCATAATTCACAAATTCAAACAGCAACTTGCTCCCTCTAATCTCTGGTGGTCCCACTGCCTAATGGGAAGAATTTTGGACAGGGAAAACCATAACATCACTTCTCACTTGATTTTTGGCTTACCATGTGTGCTGATAGAAATAGTCCCTTAAGGCAGTTTAATTTTATTTTTTTTTTACCTCCAGTGGTCTGCCGGAAAAACTTGGACAGCACAACTGTAGCAATTCATGATGCTGAAGTTTACTGCAAATCTTGCTATGGGAAAAAGTATGGCCCAAAAGGTTATGGATATGGCCAAGGGGCAGGCACGCTGAACATGGACAGGGGAGAGAGATTAGGCATCAAGCCTGAGAGGTGAGTGAACTGAGTTGGGGGTGCATGGCCCTTGTCCTTCAGTACTATTTTCAGAGGAGTCTTTCAGGCTGGATTTTGTTTATGTTCATGTTGGGAATAGAACTGCTGCAAAGTACCTCAGTCTAGTTGAATCCAGGGCATTGAACCTGCATTGCATGAAGCTCCCACTGGTGACTGTGTGAGTCAGAACAGTCGAAGCAGGAGTTGGAGTTAGTGCAAGCAAGAACACACTCATTTTATGAATGAGCCATAGGGGATTGGATTATGGAGCTGCTGATGGCATTGCATGAGCTTGCAGAGGTGAATGTGGGTCTCACATTGCTCTACCGTTCAACAGATTCTTGCAGGGATGGATTTGGACAATTGAGAACCTGGGGCTACAAGCAGAATGAATTTCTAACTGGCAAATGAAGAACCATTTGTGCTTAATTATAGCCAAAACCAGAAGTCACATTAAATAGTAAACATTCCTAATCTGATTAAGTTCTTGCTGTAAAGCAGAGCATTAGGAATGCCAGAAAAGCACAGCTTTTCTGTGGAAAGAAGCTGAGGTATGTCTCACAACGTGCTTCATGCAAGTTCCCAAATGATTGCTTAACGTTTATATGATGTATGCTCTGCAGCCAGGTTCAGTGATCCATTCAGGTTCCTGATTATAATCAGTGGACAGGAACTTAACAGAATTATTTGTAGCTTACTGTCTGAAAAATCCATGTTCTGATGGAATTCAGTTCTTCTAGTTAAGTGAAAAAAGGAAGGCTCTCAAGAAATTAGCCTTTACAGTACTTTCTTTTTATCCTTTAAAGTGTGGCCTTTCTCTTCTTGTTGTGGCTTTGGTTTTTTCCCTACCAAGTGTAATTGGATAGCCTTTCTGGTAGCTTACTTCTCCAGTTTTGCAGCAGTCCTGTATTCTGTACCATGTGCTGGGTGCTGGTCTGTTCATGTTGCTAAGCAGAGCAAGAGATCATTTTAGTAAAAGTAGAGAAAACAAATGTCCTGTTTCTTTCAGCACGCCTTCTCCTCACCGGCCCACCACAAATCCAAACCCATCCAAGTTCGCTCAGAAGTTTGGAGGGACAGAGAAATGCTCTAGGTGTGGTGATTCTGTTTATGCAGCAGAGAAAGTAATAGGAGCTGGAAAGGTAAGGAACTGCATGTGCCGTTTTGTACCTGCTACGTGGACTTTAAATTGGGTAAGGTGTGTTATGTCAGTCCCAGCAGGGAACCAACTGCAGGGCAGTTACCTTAAAACTGCATTTCTTCGCACTGGAAATAACCAAATCAATCAACTTAATTGGAAAAAAAGCACTCGAAATGTGGGGTGATGAGTGATCGCCTTAGATTTCAGAGGTGAAGATTTAATATTGTCTGGTGCTAGCGACCTGAAGAAAAGGACAGAAGCCCCTCACCCAGAAGAGGAAACAATCTTTAGGTGTGCAGCTTGTGAGGGAGGCTGAATGTTTCATCTAAAGAATGTTTCATCTGAAGGGGGATAGCCTCTGAAAATACCATGTTAAACTGCATGTCAGTCTGCCAGGTGTCTGAGTTACTTGCTACGGAGAGCCAAGGTTGCTCTGAATTGATCACAGCAAGCCCAAACCTTTCAGAATGCTGCTCTGAGCAGGATGCTGGGTGGAATCTGGGGCTTTGTGCTGCTCACAGAAATGCAGATGCTCTTGTCTGCTACTGGTGCACTTCAGCTGCTTTTCATTGCACTAGTCTCTGATCAGTAGTGATGCAGATATCTCCAGTTAATGTGGTTTTTTACCAACTTGGGCATCCTGTGTATTAATACTATCCTCTTTATTTTTTTCTCTAGCCATGGCACAAGAACTGCTTCCGATGTGCCAAGTGTGGAAAAAGCCTAGAATCTACAACCCTAACTGAAAAAGAGGGAGAAATCTATTGTAAAGGTGAGAAAAGAAGCAAAGAGCATTTGTTTATGGGTTCAAGATGCCTTACAAGGACAAATGGTCAATGTCTTGCTGATATAAGAAACTTTCAGGCTTACGCTCACATGGAAGTGCTCTGTAGGTCATAGGAATAGAGTAAAAATTGAAATGGATATTACTGAAGCTGCTGATGTAAGTGACATCTGCATCAAGTAAAACATTACATACTGAGAAATGCAGCAGCAGCCTTGCCCTGTGCCTGATCAGAGTAAGGAAACAAGCCAGCAAGCATTGTGTTCTGCCTTCTTGAGTGGTTGTGGATATAAACTTGATCCACACAGTGGTTTGATGACAACAAATGACTTAACAGATACCACGCCACAGACTGGACCTGTGAGTTGCTCTCACAGAGTGGACTGGGAGCTACACAGATGGAACAGTCCTGGCTACTGAGTTCAGTCCTGTTAGTTATGCAGCTTAACAAAATGTTTCTAAGTGCTGCTTCCCAGGGGTATATTCTAGTGACTAAGGAGAAACCACTGAGAGGCTTAGCCCAGACAGTGCTGTTCTTAATTAATGTGCTGGAAGCCTCAGCTACTGTGTGTTCATCTTTCTCACAGGTTGTTATGCCAAGAACTTTGGCCCCAAGGGATTTGGGTATGGCCAGGGAGCAGGTGCCCTTGTTCATGCCCAGTGAGGGAGCTAAAAACGCCTTCCACGCTCTGCTGAGATCCTGCCAGAAGGAGCAAGAGTTTTCCAAATGTTACTAACTACTGTGAAACAGATACTAGTTACTGTAGCGTACCTTCAGCCAATGATTTTAAAAACAAACACACACACTGCTTTTTTTCTTGCCTTGTGTATCACACTGTAACACTTTTAATAATGAGTATCAATTCAATAAAGCTTTGCTTGTTGATATACCCTAAATCTAAGTGTTGCCTCCTTTGTCAGCAATAAAAGTGATGAGGGGAGTGTTGCTGGGTACTTCAGGGGTGGAAGAATGATGCTTTTATAGACTTGATGCACAGCTCTGCTGAAACCTGGACCTACACAGTCATGGCCTTCAGAGCTGAATAACTCTCCTCCAGGATCACACCATAATATATGTGTGTGCAAGGCAAAGAGCTGCTCACTGCACAAAAGTAGTAAATCTTAATCTACTGCTCTCTAGGGTGACACAGCTCTGAAAAGGGGTACCTGTGTGCCTAAATGGCTGCCTGTCTCTGGCACAGAGTCTCTAGTAAATGAAAACCAAACTGTAATATTCTGGGGGGCTGAGCGTGCTTTGGTACTGAGGTATGTTATGCACAGAACTTACTGTGCAGGAATACTCCACCAGGACAGCTGCAGATTAAGCAGTTAGGTAAAGATAGGAAAAGAACTTTGAAACTCTTGTCTAGTTTGAGAAACAAGCTGATACTTTTTTGGGATATAAGAACCCTTCACAACACTGAATTTATGGAAACACATATAACTGGGACTGCTGCAACGAAACATTGAGTGTGTCAGCATGGTCTAAAGCAGTTTCAAGCAACATCTATGACCATGGTCTGAGGCAGTGAAGCAGTTCAAGCCAAAAGCCTAATTAGAAAAATATGTACTACTCAAAATAATACACAAAGAGTATTTTGTACAGGTTATAAAAGAACCATGTGGATAGGAGGAAAAACAAGCCAGCTCAGTGACCCAATAACTTGTCCAGTTCACAGAGCAAGAAAGATTAGAGCTGAAAAAGACAACAGTAATTCTGAAGCAGCACATTTCGGGTAGGAGTGAGACAGTAAACAACAGCACAGCCTAGGAAACCTAGGAAAAACTCTCAGTCATACTCATACCAAGGACATTGCCTTCATAGCAAGGAAGTCTGATTTTACTAAAAGGCAGCTAATGGGAGGTGCAAGGCACTGAACTCTAGTAGAAGCATAATGAGGGTGCAGAGGGCTGGCTTCTTTCCAAAAAAAACCCAAACCCAGGAACCAGCTTTCAAATCATCAGGACTCCCAAGCACAGCAATTCCTCTGGTGGAGAACTGCAAATCTTGGATGGAGATCTTCAGCACAGGTTGAAAGTCTTCCCTGGTCTTTTCCTGACAAGCCAAAGGGTGGTCAGCCCAGACACAGCCTCACCAGGAACACTGCTTGGGGAAGGGGTGAACACCACCACCAATTCTCAACGCCAATAGCAAAACAAGACTCAGCAGAAAACACTTTTTTCTTCCCTTTAGATGTGCTCCTAAGTCCTAGCCTTACACTTTAATACACACTGCTGGTTATAAATACCCTGATTAGATTTGAACTTGTATTGTTACCTTGTTTCTGCTCAAACTCTAACCTTTAGCGTGGATCAGAATAGCCAAGGTAGTCTGTGTCCTGCAAGTGCCACTCAGAAGCACACACCTTGGTGACACATCCTAGCCCTATGTAGATGCCTGGCTGACCCTTAGAACACCTCAAATGACATTATTGTAATGTCATATATGTAAGGACATTAGGCCACATGAAACATTCCCTAAATGGAGCTCTTCCTTAAGAAAGCATGCTTGCCAGCATGCTTCACTCAAAAGACAGGAATATTTAATTTAGTGAATGCTAACTTTAATTGGTAGTGCAAAGGTGTAATTTACCACAGTGTAGTAACTCATAGGATTTCACATCTGTACAGATTTGGGTGCATGCCATCTGTAAGACACCTGTACATTTTTCCAGAAAGGCTTCTGAAACTGGACACAAACTACACTGTATGAAATCACACCCCAAGTCAATACAAACACTGCATCTAAGAGTCAATATTTATTTGATTAATAACTTACAAAATTTAACAGATTTAATTTATGTAAGGAGAGCTAGTTTATTAAACATTTTACAGATTTTTTTGTTCACAATGTAATACACATCAAGATCTTGACAGTATTAAAATAATACTTGGCACAGTTATAAATAATATACAAAAAAATCCACAGCTTAAAATGTAGTGATGCTGTTTTACACATTAATTGAAAAAAAATCTGGTGGACATCAAAGAATACAAAAACCTGCAAAGAAACAGCACATGTTTAGGGCCAAGACAAAATTCCTATTTATTCTACCTATGTCAGATTAAGTTGGTCTGATCTGCTGTTGGTCTAAATCAGCTTAAGTTTCAGAAGCAATGCAGTTTTGGTTCAACAAGTGAATTTTAAGTTTGATAACTTGACAGAAAAAATGCTGCATAGTTGGCTCCCCCCTGCTTGCTTTATGATTTCATATCAACAATTCAGTGTTACTCAAGACAAGTTACATTTTGCACTGGAAACTTCATACATCCCAAATATCCATACATGCCTGTTAATTTTCACAACTACCTACTATCGCTCAGATTCTGCAGGTCTCAACCAATCTGTCACCAGAGAGCTACTGGCATGGAAATAGTGCAGAACTTCCTACGTGCTACCAAGGATCACCTCTTCTTTTGCAAACATTTTTGACATGGAGTGCATGATACAATTCATGGCATTTAATGCTACTGGGCAAATGTGACCAAAACTTGCATCATGCACTGAACTGGGTGATATTTTAAAAAGTGTATTGAAGCTCCTCAAGCCAACCAACCCCCAACTAAAATGTGAAAAAGAAATGAACAAATATGCAGAACATCATTGGTGATTAAAACAAACCATAGTGTAAAGCTTTCAGGCTTTTTTCTGATTAGAAAAAAAATATGAATAACTGAAGTCAATCGTTTTCACAGAAATAGAGCATGTTTTTGTTAGGATTACAAATTTTGTCTGACAACAGTAGCCAAAGCTTCTTCACCCCTATACCCAGACCTCTCCTGTTAAAAGTGTCCAAGACAACATTGATTTTTCCAGTATTAAACATTCAAGGACTCTGATGCTGCACTTCTGTAAATCCTGATATCTGGTACTTGCAAACTAATTGTGTGTCTTGAGATCAATGAACAACTACAGAAAAAATGTTTACTTGCAAATACTGAACATCAACTATTTACAGTTTCACTGCTCCTCCTACTAAGGCAAGGGCCGGGAATACCACTAGATTGCTTTATTATCTGTAATCTGCGTATTACAGAAAACGCTAATTTTGCCAAGCATCAAACATGCAGTGAATTTGCAGGGCATAATGCCTATTAACAGCAATATTTAACATCACTAAAAGCTCATTAGATATCTTCCTATACTTTTTTGGTTGAATAAAATGAAAATGAGCAGCTTTAAATACACTAAACACACACTCACAGAGAGAAAACTATTTGATAAATTATTTATATACAGATACACATTCTTTACACTGGTCTCAGACATCTGCTTTCAGGACCCTCCCCAAACTCCCCTCACAGGTTCCTTGAACCACTGGGTTGCTACAGCACTTAGAAGAGAACTAAACTGATTCTCAGTCTCTCTGTAAACAATAGTTAAGGAAGCAGTGAACAATTCACTATGAGTATATGAAAACACCATAACAAAAATCAGTGCATCACATTCAGGAAAAGCCCCTTTGGAATGCAATCTCAGATCATTCCTTACCTTCCAAACACATCTGTAGCATGAGAACTTAAAAACAGAAATTAAGGGTGATTTCCACGTGCCAACGCACCATCTTCCTCAGAACACTGCTCTGCATTTTCTGCGCGCACGTGCCATTATGGGGATTCTTAATTTTTTGTTTTTGTTAAAGTTTGGGTTCCATTATTTCACATCCAAATGAAATAAAGATTTCAGGCAACTTTGGGTTCTTCTTCTCTAATTGCATTCAATTTTAAACTATCTTGTCTTTTAATAACTGAGACTTTTGCTTTTACATCTGTGGTATCCCCCATGTAATTTCTCTTCCAATGTGTCTCCAAATACACTACACTGTACTGTATGAGGACCAAACCTACTATTAAAACATTGCTAGTTTGTAAGTTGCTTATACAATTACTTCAAAGATAATTATTTTTTCCCCACTTTTTTCCCTGAACATTATATACTGTAAACTAATTTTACAGGTGTATCATGCATTTAGGCAGGGCTTTAACTTTGACAGAAAAGCTTTCCTTATTGGCGCAGCTGTTTATTTCAGACTACATTATTTCAGAACAGGGTTGTTACAAGTATTGAGTTGTACCACTAACTGGTGGCAAAAACAATCACCAAAAAACGTGGGCAACATATTTTTACTCAACATTACCTGACGCGCCCTACTGCTATAACTTAACATGTTACAGGGGATCCCCACCACAGGATGTTTATAACAGTACTGAAAAGCACATTTTTTCAATGTACATCTTACTACAGAAAATCTGTATTAATAAAATCACATTACAGGAACTACAACATAGCGATCAGTGAACTCTGTATCATGAAATTTAGTTTTATATTCTAGATTCTTGTTTCAGTGGAATAATTGATATTGGGATACAAATTTTTCTGCTCAGCACAATATAACTACTTATGTCAATACTTCAATAATCTCATGCTCCATTGTGAAAGACATTAAATAAAAAACCCGATAACAAATACTGTGAATATGTTGTCATGAATAATTCTCATGTTAAGAACTGTTAAAATCCCTTTTTGATCTTCCTCCTCTTCCTTATCAGGTTTGGCAGTTTATTCTGTCCATTTTTACTTTTGTTAATAAAATTCTGATGAAGAGAAGGTACCTTTATGATTCATCATCAGCCCTACACATAGCATGCTACTCTTCAAGGGATGCGGAGTTGAGAGAGAGAGAGAGGGAAAATTTTCCAGGCACCACTCAGGATGATATGCTCACAGGATGAAGGTGGTGCTACACTAGCTGGTAGCCTGATCCTGAAGTTTGGTCATATTCTATTGTATACTGCCTTGTCCAGTCCACAATAACAGGCCGAAAAAGACCACAGCATCTGAATTCAAAGAAGTCTATAATGTTCCTTATACATCCATGGCTAAAAACAAAAGAAAA